ATTCTCAATAATCAATTCCTTGATTCGGATACAAAATTTTCATCATTCTCTTATCTGTTTTCCTTTGTTTTGTGAGTTTTAACCTCAAATGGGATTACACAAAAAACATAACCTTCTCAGAAAACTGCAGCCATTTTTACAAATTTCCGTGAGCCAACACAGGAAAATGAAAATGACAAAGCCACATAGTAGGAGGCAGACAAAAGAAATCAAAGAACCGAACACTCTCTTCATTAGCAAAAGCGTTTGAGAAATCAAACGAAAATAAGCCAAATACCCCTCTTCCTCAAATCCCGATGGCCCCCATGCTTTTCTCTGACTGTACCCCCTCTCCCACTCATGAAATCGAGGATCTGCAGCAATGGCGCTGAGATCCCCACTCCTCTCTCTCTCTCTTTCTCTCTCTCTCTCTCTCTCTCTCTCAGATGCGGCATGGCCTCCCATCCCCGAAACCCTCACTGAACGAAGAACGAAGAGGTGGGGGCAATTTTGTACAAATCAGATCAGGAAACACTATGCACAGTATATGCACCAAATACCTAGTAATGAGATATTTAGCATGTGATATCTTTCGAACCACACAATATATGCACCACATCCCCATCCTATTCAATTCGATTATGGCAGCACGAGGGATAACCTTGCTTGATCTCCTGTTCTGAACGACACGAAATTTGTTGATTTCGTATGCATTGCCGACACTTAGATGGCTTAAAAAAAAATTGGATGTCTCGACCGTTCATGGTTCCGTGAACCGCATCTCCCTTTTAGAAGCAGAAATTAAAAAGCAGACATAATACTTAATCAGTGGTATAACATTTAACGCAGTTGTTTATTTTTCAGTCTTTTTGTTATATGTCAATCCGTTGTTTATATTATGCTTGTAATCCCTATTAATCAATCTGTTATTATCATGTTATGCCTTTTTATAGTCATTATACTTGTTGCGTCATTTATACTTGTAATCCCTATTAATAATATGTCAATCTGTTGTCCCAATCTTTTTTATAGTCATTTATACTTGTAATCCCTATTATCATGTTATGCTTTTATTGTCATGTCTCATTATTTTATTATAATGCATCATCTAGTAAGATTATAAATGGGAGATTCACAATAAGAAAAGAAAAAGGAAACTATAATTAGTGGTCCGTGCAAGAGAACAACATGTTGTTACAACTACTTGTTGAGGCCGTAAACAATGGATGGTGTGATGCTAATGCCATAATAAGTAAGCAGACCATAGAAGCCAAAATTGTTCCCGTGCTCAATGAAAAACTTGAGTGTAAAAAAACTGAAGATCATGTTAAGAACCGTATGAAAACATTGAAGGGTCGATTTCAATCAATTTGCCAGCTTTTTAGACACAATTCTGGATTTGGTTGGGACCCTGTCACAAAAAAGCTCACAACTAGTGATGAAGTATGGATATAGTTTTGTTTCTTTGCCTTTCTCTCTCTCTATTATGTTCTAATGGATATAGTTTTGTATTCTTAGGTGATTCTTTATATAATGTCTGAAAACATGATTGAAAAGGAAATGGAAAGAGAAGATGAAGAATATCATGAAGCCATTAAGTTACTATTGATGGCAGTACAAGCAATAGTTCAAGTGCCAAATGTGTTAATGGTTATTATACATGATGATCATATTGAACGCCATTAGCCCGACGACCTATTAGTAGAACTGGATACGATTATATTAACAAGGTATTGAACGAGGATCCTCAAGAATTTCGAGTGCTATATAGGATGTTTTCTTAAAGCTATGTGACGTCCTTACGAAAAAGACGCATTTGAAGGGTACAAGATTTATTTGTATTGAAGAAATGGTTGCTACATTTCTACTCACTATTGGTCAAAATTCTCGATATTGCCAAACTCGGGACACATTTCGGCGGTCACATTTTACAACAAGCAAAAATTTCAACAACGTTTTGAAGGCCTTGAACACAATTGCACCATATTTGATGGTCCAACCTGGATCCACGATGCCAACTAAAATAAGAGAAAGTAGAAGATTTTACCCTTATTTTAAGGTTAATAATTAGTACTTATCTTAGCCATGTCATGATTAAATTGGTTTCATAAGCATATTAGTAGCTACGTATTAACTCTTATAATTATTTTAGGATTGTGTTGGAGCTATTGATGGAACACATATACCAGCAATGGTATCGTGACCCAAAATAGCTGCTGACTTACTATTGAAGTGGTTGTTTTAATGTCATATATTTGAAATTCCTGGTTGATTTTCTTGCAGTTGCTTCTTCATGCAATTTATACGTTCAATGCCAATGTTGTCTTAGTTCTGGGTCAGGTACATCCCTCTGGTTTGAGGGGTTTTTTTTTTCCCTTATTATGATTTTACCTTGCTGGATTCTGCAAGCATTTCTTCTCCCCCCCCTCTTCGTTATTGTTGCTTAACTTTGTTACAAAGTTCGTCTTTGACACACCCCGATCCCGATATTCTATGAATACCAGGATAGGCACGTGTTGGCCGACATCCGAAGGTGACGAAAGCCATTTATTGAGTGCAAATGCTGAAAACAAGGGATAGATAAAACTTATAAATTTAAAAAAAAATAAGGAATATACATTTAAGGAATGTGTTCAGAGCACACATCTAATCTAGAACACTAAAAGAATTAATATAAAATTGAATGAACAAAGGAGTGGGTCCTACACCAAGAGGACTCGAAGATGCCGATGCAGAAATGCCTGGACGCCGGGATTGTATGCCTCGATTCTAAGTCTTGAAGGGGGCGCAAAATAAACATGAGTGGACCAAGTTGATATATATAATAAAACAGTTAACAACGTACTAACCCCCAGATTTTATGAAAACACATATATATCATGATAAACATAGGTTTTCCGAAACCTAGCATGTCATGCAATGTCTCAAATCATAACTTGTATATATAATAATCACTAGTGAATTGTTCGATAACCCCCAGGCCCCATGCCGGCTCCCCGTCTCTGAGCAGACAGTCAGAAGAAAATACATTTCAGGCGCCATGCAGGCTCCCCATCCCTGTGCTAAATAGCCAAAGGAAACACACTCCAGGCCCTATGCCAACACCAAACCGTCGCCCGGGACGGACCGGAATCTATATCTACGTCCCGTAGCGGAAAGGACCACTAGGTAAGTACAAAACCATTGAACATATATATATATATATATATATTGAAAATCAACTACATAGTATAAAGTCATTCATCATCTATACTATAAAGAGGTGTTCGAAACATGTTATAAATATCATATCGTCATCCATCAGATATTCTATAAGAACACGGGATATAGGAAAAATAATAATAATTCAAAATAGCCTTAGTAAGCATGTTATCTCAAAACATTTCATATAACATAATCATCAAATCATGCTTTTCATGTATGCATTTCTACTATCAAAAAATGCATTTTTAGAAGGAGTCCACTCACAATACTTTGCCGCCGAAGAGTCACGCAGCTAGTGAAGACAGAAACACCACTATAATTGCCCCTAAGCACATAAAGAGTCCAATTAATAAAACTATATAATAGAAATTGAATTTGGGAAAACGGACGTTGGAAACGAATTCAGAACGTCAAATTACTCTAAGAAGAGTCCCGGATAAATTTTGTAAAAGTCAATAGAATATTCCTAGAATATTTCCTTACAGAATATTCCACATAAAGGGTTTGGGCCGGCTAAGGTATAAAGTTTTGGTCTCAAAGGGCTTTGGGGTTTAATAATTAAAAAAGGTATGGGTTTAAAAGGTTTAAAGGGTTTAGTGGCTAACGAGCTTAAGACCCTAACAGAAATGGCCCAAGGCCTTTGGGTTTTAAAACAAAAACAAAATAAATAAAACTATAAAGGGTATTAAAGGTACTGGGCTTGAAAGTCCAGCCCAATTGTTTTGGGTTTGAAATAAAATAAATATAAACAAAATAAAATAAAAGGGGTTGGGTTGGGTGTAAGCACGGCCCAAAGGGCCTAGTTCAAATGGGTTTAGGCCCGAAGGCCTTGGTTTCTTGGTCTCGCCGGAGAAGAAGGCCCGAATTCGGCCGGAAACTTCCTTAACTTTAAACGTTCATAACTTTGTTAATACTCAACGAAATCAAGTGAAACAAAAACGAAAGTTTTATTTCTTGAAGAGACGAAAAGAATGGTACCTCACATGACATCTAAATCGCTGTGGTGTGGCCGGAAAACCCCTCGAAAGCCGCGGAGGTCGCCAGAAACTGGGTTAGATTCAAATGGATATAACTTCTTCAATACTCAACGAAATTGCGTGATTCAAAAATCAAAGTTGTAGTACTCAAGGATATGAAAAGATTGATACCTTTCACGTCTGCCAACTCACCGTGGTTTGGCCGAAAATTGCCTTGAAAGTGACGGGTTCTTCGCCAGAAGTCTGGGGAAGTCTCCCCAACGTGTTTTCATGTCCAAACCTTCACCAAAATCACATTTTAGCAACCAGGAATCCTTCTAGACTACTAGGGAGAAGGATGGAAGGGTGTTTGACCTACCATTGTCAAAAACGACGATAACTCGTCGGGGAATATTTGCACAGTGGTGAGAAGGAAAGAGAGTGGAATCGGAGGGTGGTGCCGTCGTGTTATTTTGCGTGTGCATGGGTGCTCGTATGTGTGGTACCCGGGGAGGAGGAGAGAACACAGAGAGAGACTTAGGGGAAAAAGAGGAAAAGGAAGAGAGTGAGAGGGAAAGAGTGAGACCGAGAGAGAGAGAGAGATAGACTTTTGAGAAAAAATAAAAGAAAATAGAAAGGAACCGGGGACAAAACAAGGGGTGGGCCCCTTGGGCACATCATTTAAGACCCAAAACTATTTTTAAAATGAAAATATCCCAAAGTTGATAAAAATACAAAAATGCCCTTTTTGTTTCGTAAAATTCGAAACGGATTGTCACATACTAGCATAATGCATCCTTGTTTGCAGAACAAAATGGTTGTATATGCAGACTCCGATGACAGTACATATGTTTCTTTTAAATTCTCAGGAAAAACTTTGGAGCATGATCAGAAATGTACTAAAGAACAAGCCTGGTGTGGACGTTGTAAAACTTCAAAAATCTGGGGGTGTTGTATCCAGGAATGCCAAATTCCGTCAAAAATCCAGGAGTCATAGGATAAGGGTAAGCATCAATATGTTGCCATTTAATCCTTGTTATTTGTTCTTCCTGAAGAAAAGACTCATGTGCACTGATATTTCTAACAGGAGTATTTCTATGGCCTTGCAAATGATCTCAGCCCACATTCTAATATCGCGAATTTTAGTGAGTTTTCTGTCTTTCGGATTGGTGGCGGGCCACAGGCCCCACGTTCAGCTTTGCCAATTGGTGCAGAGCCTGCTGCAGACCCTACAAGATTGGCGCCTGTGAATATTAACCGGGATTTGCTGCATACCGTTCTTGCTGTTTCATTTGCCAAGGAGCCTGATCAAATTATTTCTAGGTAACTTATACCTATCTATCTGATAGAGAAGTAGATAATGAATCACTAAAGTATATGACATTGATCAGTCTCGTTCACTTTCATTTGAACTTCACATAGGAAAGTAGATGGTTTTACCCCCTCACTGTCACAAGAATGAAAATACATAGTAGTATTGTGGTATTTCTTGCTTGCTTTTCCGTCTCTGGAGATAGGGATGCAAATTTGACCGTGACATTTTGTATTTCAGAGCATGATTCGTAGTCTGTAGTCTTAAATATTTACTTTTTTGGTTTGTTTTGCAGTAATGTTGCTGGGTTTGTCTTTGTCACAGACGTCGACATTCAGAGGTTTGTATAGTGAACAACTTGCTAGAAACACTTCTTGTATTCTGGTTTTCGTTGTTCTAACCCAATATGCGGCGTTACAGGAAGACAATTACGTACCTTGCACCATCGGCGGGGGAGCTTCCAAGCAAGTATTTGATTGCAGGAACCGTGACATGGCTTGAAACGTGAAGTCGATGACCCAAAACCCCAGTACTCTCGCTTTCCGGTGGATGTACGTTACTGGCTTATGTAAGGAGTGCAAGATGTGAGCTATCTAGGCGTAAAATTAGTTTTAACGATGTATCCCAAATACAACAACAGATCAGAATATTATTGTCGTTTTTTTGCATCCTTAATTTGTTATGCAAGTCTTGTTTGTCGTATTTTAGATTATACCAAAATTTAAAAAGGCGTGCCAAAGCCTGAATTACTAGAGCTTGGCAACCACAATTTTTTTTGGTTACGAACTATTAATAATATGTCAATATGTTGTCCCAATCCTTTTTATAGTCATTTATACTTGTAATCCCTATTATCATGTTATGCTTTTATTGCCATGTCTCATTGTTTTATTATAATGCATCATCTAGTAAAATTATAAATGGGAGATTCACAACAAGAAACGACAAAAGGAAACTATAATTAGTGGTCCGTGCAAGAGAACAACATGTTGTTACAACTACTTGTTGAGGCCGTAAACAATGGATGGCGTGATGCTAATGGCATAATAAGTAAGCAGACCATAGAAGCCAAAATTGTTCTCGCGCTCAATGCAAAACTTGGGTGTAAAAAAACTGAAGATCATATTAAGAATCGTATGAAAACATTGAAGGGTCGATTTCAATCAATTTGCCAGCTTTTTAGACACGGTTCTGGATTTGGTTGGGACCCTGTCACAAAAAAGTTCACAGCTAGTGATGAAGTATGGATATAGTTTTGTTTCTTTGCCTTTCTCTCTATTATGTTCTTATGGATATGGTTTTGTTTTTTTAGGTGATTCTTTATATAATGTCTGAAAACATGTCTGAAGAGGAAATGGAAAGAGAAGATGAAGAATATCGTGAAGTCATTAAGTTACTATTGATGGCAGTACAAACAATAGTTCAATTGCTAAATGTGTTAATGGTTATTATACATGATGATCATATTGAACGTCCATTGGCTCGACGACCTATTAGTAGAACTGGATACGATTATATTAACAAGGTATTGAATGAGGATCCTCAAGAATTTCGAGTGCTATATAGGATGTTTTCTTAAAGCTATGTGACGTCCTTACAGAAAAGACGCATTTGAAGGGTGCAAGATTTATTTGTATTGAAGAAATGGTTACTACATTTCTACTCACTATTGGTCAAAATTCTCGTTATTGCCAAACTCGGGACACATTTCGGCGGTCACATTTTACAACAAGCAAAAATTTCAACAACGTTTTGAAGGCCTTGAACACAATTGCACCAGATTTGATGGTCCAACCTGGATCCACGGTGCCAACTAAAATAAGAGAAAGTACAAGATTTTACCCTTATTTTAAGGTTAGTGATTAGTACTTATCTTAACCATGTCCTGATTAAATTGGTTTCATAAGCATATTAGTAGCTATGTATTAACTCTTATAATTATTTTAGGATTGTGTTGGAACTATTGATGATACACATATACCAGCAATGGTATCGGGACCCGAAGTAGCTAGCTATCGTGATCGTCATGGTAAACTATCACAAAATGTATTAGTTGCTTGTAACTTTGATTTGGAATTCATATATATTCTTAGTGGATGGGAGGGTTCAGTTCATGACTCCAAACTATTACATGATGTTGTATCAAGGAGGAACATACTTAAAGTGCCAGAAGGTTTGTATTTATTCGTTTATTTATTTATTTATTTACACTAGGATGTACCATAAATAATAAATTTATGTGTTTAAAAAGGTGTTCGATATTTTAGCTCCGTTTCAAGAGGTGTTCGATATCATCTCCAAGATTTTGCTGGTAACGATCATGACCCTGTAAATACAAATGAGTTGTTCAATCTTCGACATGCTTCCTTGAGAAACGTAGTGGAGAGGATATTTGGTGTATTTAAATCTTGATTCACAATTTTTAGTCTGCACCTCCATTTCCAATTAAAACACAAGCAGAGTTAGTGTTAGCTTGTGCAAGGTTGCACAACTTTCTTCGCAAGGAGTGTCGTTCTGATAAATTTCCGATCGAACCAGAAGATGATGAATACGAAGATGAAAAAATGATGATGAACTAGGTAATCAAACTCAAGAGCAACAACGACAGATTGCTAATGCATAGAGAGCTAACATAGCTACAAATATGTGGACATATGCTGTGAGTAATAGCATTCAAAGATGAGAAATAGAGAATTAATTGTTTTTACGGATTGGAGTATGCAATTTTTGCTTCTTCCGTGCAAACACCTGGAGAGCAGCGATATAACCTCGGACTTTGCAAGACGTAAGTTGCTTAATGTGTGTATGAAATTACATGGCACGGTGACAGCTAATGTGGAAGTAGGGCCAACTTTGGTTAAGGTTGTATATCTATATAGACTTGTTGTCAGTCTGTTATTCTTCATGCATTGTTGCATTTGTTTCCAATCAACTTAAGCTTTAAGGACAATTGGATATCAAGATGGTTGAACGCTGGATAAATCTTTTTGCTTTGAGTAGTTATGTTTTGACACTAATCGATCGGGTTCCTCTTTCACTTTGATAGCTAGTTGAAAACATTGCATATGAACTTGGTATTGCAATTTGGTATTAGTAGGATGAAAATTTTGGCTTGTAAAGAGAAGGAAATTGTTGATCAAATTCTTTGCAATTCTCTAACCCCATGTAAAGAATTCTCTCACAACTCATGTGAATTCTCTGAAAGTTATAATTAATTCACTCAAAATGGAAGCGATTGTCTCTCTCCAATTTGTCAGGCATGATGTCCCCCTCCCTTCTTTCTTGCCGAGTCAAACATGAAATGTAGTCAATGGCTGAAAGAAGGTTTTTAAGCCTGAGTGACAATTTTGTAAATTAAGTGAAAGTGGGTTAAAAGCATCCGAGTTGTAATATTGTAAATAAACTGAAATGTGGTTCAAAACATTGTTCACATGAATAGTGCCAATTTCCCCTCCTACTTTAGACTAAAGTAATTAGAATATCAAATATCAAATGATTAAAAAAACACTCTTGAACATATTACAAGAATTAATTGGCCTATAAAATATGCTTTGATATAAACCAAAAAGGTAAAAAATGTTAATGATTTTAAATTCGAGGAGGTGAACCATCATGAAGTGGCTTAGTAGTTGGACAAATTCTAGGCCTGTATTTCATATGACGTATTTTAAGTTTAATTTTTAGCACTGGTGAAAACACACGATAGTGACTAAGTGAAGGTTGAAATGCCTTAATGAGTTTTTCCCGCTCCCGAAAAAATAGATTGCCATAACAAAGCCACCAACTGATTCCCTTGTTAAAAAAAATGAGAAGTTTGAGGAGGTGATTAGTAGTTGAAGAGTGGAACTAAGATGGATACAATCCAACATGATCCTCTTCATATCCTTTTGGTGAGGATCTGTGAATCGTGTCCGTTTATCGTACATCGTGCGGTCAGTTTTTTATCAAGTACTGTTTGTGTTTAATTTTAAACAAAAATATTTAAAATAATTTATGATCCCACACTGTACGATGAACCAACATAATTTACCAATCCCCAAGATCCTCACAAAGAGGATCCGGGATAATCATTATCCATAATATCATGGAGAAGTTGAAAAAAGGAATTTAAACTCGGGTGAAAAGAGACAAAAATACTGAATAAACTATTTAACACCGTGGCGACCGACTGACCTACCTAATGCACTACGTATGAGTATGATGACTAATTCTTCTATTAGTTGAGTTGATTAAATAAGATTAGTTAGACATTTGATTTGATATCCAATTGGCAACAATTAATTTCATAATAAATCATATCATATACTACACATTATTATATTGCACAACTTCTTGTGTAAACCACACTTCACCAATATTAAAACCAAACAAAGAAAAATAAATTCTAAAAAATTATACGACTCCATCGTGTTGCATTATCGCGTAAATCTGCAGTCTGATTTTCCCACATGTCCAAATAAATGTTCATGATTCCCAAACAACAAAAATTATATAAAGCAGAAATAATTAGGCAAAAAAAAAAAAAATCTCAAAGTAGCATTAGCAAGAATACCTTTTGAAATTGGATACAATAATGCAATCATTATTTTGACGATCAAATAATAATGGTAGCAAATACATATATTTACATTAATTTTTATGACCGTCACATAATAACGAGGGGAAAATTTTTAATGTGCTGAAACACAATTTGATATACAAATATCATTATATAAGTACTTGAATTTTATTTTCTAATATACAATTGCTTATATTATAAGGAAAACTAATGAAAAAGACTTGAAAACTTTGAGTTTTAATGATAAGGACAAAATAAAGGGTAAAGTGAATAGTATCAGGTTTGACTTTTTAGTGTAAAAATGTGATTTTTCGTTAAAGTGAACAGTACCGTGGACTTTTCGTTAAAACTCCCTATATTATAACACTTGAGATATCGTTTTATGTTATTGACGCTCTGAAAAATCATGATAACGGAGTTGCGCTTTTGATTTGATGTTGGGAATATGCCAAAACTAGTGTTGTGGAGCGGTGCGAAAGCTTTCTCCTTTGTCTTCCTCATCTCTCTCTCATGCCCGACCTGCCCGTCTCCTCTGTTTCAAACCCCGCCCGACCTGCCCCACCATTTCTGAAAAACTTTCCCTCTTTCTTTAAGCAGCACAGCCTTCTGTCCCCCTCTACCTCTCTCCACTCTGTCTCTCTCTGTCTGGCCTTTTTGACCAACTGGGTCGGATTCAATTTCAGTTATCGAGCATAAGACTGCTCGATCTTTTGCTTCAAGTCGCAGTTCTTGTGAAAATTTCGAAGATTTTGTAGCGTTTCTGGGTTGGTTTTGGGTTGCAGTGGATTTTCTGTGGTACTGAACCACTCTTCTTTCTTTGCTTCGAGTCGCATTTATTTGTGAAAATTTCATAGATTTTGTAAATTTTTGGGTCGTTTTTGGTTTTCAGATTGGTGGGTTCGAATGGATTTTTGTGGGTTTTGAAATTTCTGGTTCTCCGAGCCATGAGAATCTGAATCTAGAGAGAGTTTGAACTCCAAGGAGATGGGTTTGGTGCGTAATCCTAGCAAGGTGGAGAGTTGGGGTAAAAGTAGCAAATCGAAGGGTAGGAAGAAGAAAGATGAGGCAGTGGAGGAACCTGGGTGTTGGGTTAAGCTCAGGTTTGGGACCTGCATGCCTTCGAGATCCAAAGTTAATAGCTCCATCACTGGAACTAGTGTTTCTTATGGTAATTTCTTCACTACCCCTTTCCTTTTTTGCCGATTTCTTGTTGAGAAGCATTAAATTTTGAGGTGGGGATTGTGTTTTTCGGTTGCCCTTTTTCCCCTTTTTGGATGATTAATTTGTTTGGTGTGCTAAATTAAGTTAATAGGCATGTAACACCGTATGATTTTAGGAAAGTGTTTAATTTTGTTTAGGTGATGAATACTGTGTAAATATGCAGAAGACGAATGATTTGAAAAGACGATATTCTAAACTACTCTAATTTACGGAGAGGAGAGGGGATTGGACCTTATTATATATGGTTGAGTGGTTGCAATTCATTGAGTCTAATAGTTTGAAATCGACTTCCGGTTTATTAAATGTACAATTGCATTTTTAATGTCGGGCATTTATTATAAGCTCCCAACAATATCAACATCTTATTTGAAAGGCGATATTCTAAACTGCTCTAATTTACGGAGAGGAGAGGGGATTGGACCCTATTATATATGGTTGAGTGGTTGCAATTCATTGAGTCTATTAGTTTGAAATCGACTTCCGGTTTATTAGACGAACAATTGCAATTTTAGTGTCGGGCATTTATTATACGTTTCCAACAATAGCAACATCTTATTTGATTCAAGTGTGTTGGACTCTGTGTAACCAGCGGAAACTAAATCTTCAAATGAGAAAAGTAGAGATCGAGAAGTTACTCGTGGAGGGTCGTCCACCACTACTAGTAATGCTGGGAGTTCTACGTCCACGCCCTATTTTAGCGAGGAACTGAAGGTTGCTTCCCAGCTCCGGAAATTCACATTTAACGAACTTAAGTTAGCGACTAGGAACTTCAGACCTGAGAGTCTTCTTGGTGAAGGTGGATTTGGTTGTGTATTTAAAGGTTGGGTTGAGGAGAATGGAACTGCCCCTGTGAAACCTGGTACCGGGCTTACGGTTGCAGTTAAGACTCTCAACCACGATGGACTTCAGGGTCACAAAGAATGGCTTGTATGGCTTCGCTATCCCTCAACTTACGATTATAACTGTTTTTAACTTGACCTCTTGGATTACACGCGAGTCTCCTTTTCGGTTCAATTTGTATCTAAATCTTCTTTGTTTTTTTTTCATTATTTTCAGGCTGAAATTTATTTTCTTGGTGATCTCATCCATCCTAATTTGGTAAAATTGATTGGTTACTCGATTGAAGATGATCAGAGGTTGTTGGTCTATGAGTTTTTGCCGAGGGGAAGTTTGGAAAACCATCTCTTCAGAAGTAAGCAACTGGTCCTTTCACATTCTTGATATTTGCATGTATATTGAAACTAGCTGTTGAATTTGCGTCGTTTTGAATTGTTAGTGGTTGCCTAATGATCTTTGGTAACAACCAGGGTCCCTGCCTCTTCCGTGGTCTATTAGAATGAAAATTGCACTCGGTGCTGCAAAGGGTCTTGCCTTTCTTCATGAAGAAGTTCAAAAACCGGTCATATACCGCGACTTCAAAACATCTAATATCCTATTAGATGCAGTAAGTGACAGTATCTGAGCATCAAATTCATTTATTTTCCTACTACTATTCTCTTCTGAAAATGGAATGTGTTATTTTAGGATTATAATGCCAAGCTTTCAGATTTCGGACTTGCGAAAGATGGCCCTGAGGGTGATAAAACTCATGTGTCCACACGAGTCATGGGAACATATGGTTATGCAGCCCCAGAGTATGTGATGACCGGTGAGTCTGATAATAATCATCTTCGGCTAATAATAGTTTTGGTAGTTCTATAAAGTTGTAACTCCATCGAATATGCAAAGAGATGGGTTAAAACATCAGTACTTAGCATTTTATCAGGCTTTGGCTTCTGATAAATAATTGCCTACCTAGGCCAATCTTGAGCTAGAATTACGAAGTCCTAACATGGCCTTTTGGTTTAGGACATTTGACATCAAAGAGCGATGTCTATAGTTTTGGAGTAGTTCTGCTCGAAATGATAAATGGCAGAAGATCCATGGACAAAAATAGACCAAATGGGGAGCACAATCTTGTGGAGTGGGCGAGGCAACGCTTTGGCGACAAGAAGAGGTTATTCCAGTTAATTGACCCCCGTCTTGAAGGTCATTTTTCGATTAAAGGTGCACAAAAAGCAGTCCAGCTTGCCGCCCACTGCCTCAGCCGTGACCCAAAAGCTAGGCCAATGATGAGTGAAGTTGTTGAAGTCCTAAAGCCTCTACAAAACCTCAAGGACATGGCCAGTTCTTCCTACCACTTCCAAACCATGCAAGAAGCTCGTTCCAGGTCCCACTCAAGTTCTAAGAACGGCATCAGAACGCAGCCGGTATTCATGCCGAGAAACGGACAGCCCGTAAGGAGCTTGTCGAGCCCGAATGGTCCACCTGCTTCTCCATATTATCCTGGAAAATCGCCTAAACCTAACTCAAAAGAATGATGACATTAGTTTTTGTGTATGATTATCTTTAGACTTGACTCTCATATTGTACCAGCTTCAGATTGTTCTGTCATATATAGTACAAACTAAAAAATCTTTTTACTCTCATGATCTTATCCTCTATGTTTGGCTGCAATTAGACACTTGGTTGGTGTGACAATTCGGATCCTGCAATTAGGTCTTTCGTCAAAGATTATTTTTATGAATATTTATTTTGTTTAAAATTATTGACCGTTGAATTAAATGGTAGTTGTTTTAATAATTTTTTTTAAAATTTTTTAAGTTACGTATTCATTTTTTTTCTTTTAATTATTTAATTTGGTATGATTATTTGTTTTTAATAATTTAATTATTTAATCTAGTCTGATTATTTGTTTTTTATAAATTATAAAAAGATATAGTTCTTGGGATATGCAAATTCTTTAATTTGTTCATTCATTTTAAGGAAAACGAATGAAAAATGTTTGAAAATTTTGAGTTTTAATTAAAAGGACAAAAATGTGTTGTAAATGAATAGTATCAAAAATGATTTTTTAGAATAAAAATGAACAGTACTGGAAGTGTTTCGTTAAAACTCCCTTCATTTTATCGTTTCGTGGTTTTTACTGTTATTTTCACTCATAATTCTTCACTCACTGTTCAATTATTTGAAGATGACTTTTTAATGCCTCTCAATACGTCACTGCATGTTTTACTTTTGCGGCGTTCCTCAAAATTTTTAGAGTAACGACTTGTAGGATCTCCTTCAAGGTTCTAGATTTCCTCTTCAAATCCAACAATTTCATCAGATTATGCACTTTTTTTACGAGCAATGAAAAATCATTAAAGCCATTATCGAAGAATGAGCAATGCATACACATGAATGAACAAGTGACGGTTTAAACGTCTACAAATTGTATAAAATCTTATATCTATTTATTTCTTATATCACTTGGTAAGATAAGTTTTCTTTTACCGCAAATAATTGGACTGCAACTCTATTGAAAGGATTATCATAATTAGAACTGGTAAGTAGAAAAATTAAAAGGCATTTAAAGGAACTTAATGACATTATCCAGAGTCACATGAAAATTTGCAAGTAAAGGAAACTCAATTAATGTCAATGGGCAAATTACAGAGCTCTTTTCAAATTAGTGAAAGCGAAATGAAACAGACTAAGGGTAATTTTGACTTTTCAATCATAAAAGGGTACCGTACAAGGGCAAACTGGTCATTTACCCTCTGAGCTTTGCTCTCCAAGTCTCAGCAATTTTGGCTTGGATTACAAGAAATAATTCACAAACAACTTTACAACTTTGTCTCTCGTATGGTTGCTCAGAAAATGTGAGTTCGTCTTGAACTCTTTCGCTTTATTTTCTGTATGGATGCCGAGAAAACAATACAAACTGAACTTCAACTGAATTTCTTTTCTTAGATCTATGCTTTATTGATTCATATTTTGTTGTGATCTCATACAATTTATGTTACTAGTTTATGAACTGAAGAATGGGTCAAGCACTTGGTTGTGTTCAAGTGAAGCAGTCAAAAGTTGCTGTGAGGGAGCAATTTGGGAAGTTTGATGGTGTGCTTAAACCAGGATGCCACTGCATGCCCTGGTGTTTCGGGTACAAGGTAGCCGGTGAGCTCTCTCTGCGTGTGCGGCAACTTGAAGTTCGATGTGAAACCAAAACCAAGGTTTTCGCCTTCTGAATTGAGTCCTTACTTTACATTCCCTGAACCATCTGTAGTGAAATCCATAATGTTTATGTCAGACTGTATAGCATGTGATATATGTCGGATAAAAAGGGAGAAAAAAATCTTGCTATGTGACATATTTGGTCTTTTCAGGATAATGTGTTTGTGAATGTGGTTGCGTCGATTCAATATCGCGCCTTGCCAGACAAGATACCGGATGCTTTCTACAAGCTCTCGAACGCCAACTCACAGATTCAGGCCTTTGTGTTTGATGGTAAGACTACAATGCGATTGGTAGAATTCTTGCTTGTACTAGTTGATCAACAGCTAATGCGTTGCTATTCTTTGCGTAACATTCGTCGAGAACGGTTATTAGGGCAAGTGTGCCGAAATTGGAGGTTGATACCGTCTTTGAGCAGAAGAGTGACATAGCGAAATCTGTTGAGGAGGAGCTTGCAAAGGTGAAACAATTTTTTAGTTTTAATAGAAAAGGTTATATCTTTGTGTAACACTCGTTGAAAACTGATCGAAATTGTAACCATTTTTCGTTACAGGAGATGTCTGCTTATGGTTTCGAAATAGTAGAGACCCTTATTGTGGATATGAGCCGGATGTTCATGTGAAGATAGCGATGAATGAGATCAATGCAGGTAACTTTCACACCAAAAATGTCACGCTTATTGTTCCAAAAGTTCAATTTGTGATTTGGTTGTTGCTCAGTTTGTTTATAAGTTTTGCTGTCTGTCATCGTAACAGCTGCAAGGCAGAGGTTGGCGGCGAAAGAAAAGGCTGAAGCGGAGAAAATCCTACAGATCAAGCGAGCGGAAGGAGAGGCGGAGGCCAAGTACTTGGTAGGGCTTGGCATAGCGCGTCAGCGCCAGGCCATTGTTGACGGGCTGAGGGACAGCGTGCTTGTCTTCTCCGAGAATGTTCCCGGAACAACACCCAAGGATGTCATGGACATGGTTTTGGTGACTCAATACTTCGACACCATGAAGGAGATAGGAGCATCCTCAAAATCATCGTCTGTTTTCATCCCGCACGGGCCAGGCGCGATCAAGGACGTTGCTTCGCAGATTCGAGAGGGTCTCCTTCAAGCTGATTATGCCAAGGCATAGAGAGTGAGAGAGGAAAAAACTCCTAGGGAAATAAATTATCTGCAATGCTTGCATATTATTACGGAAGGTGTGTGCTTAAATTATTCATATGAAGAACTAATTATCTACTCTACCCAGTACTTACATATCATAAGTTGGCGACTGAGTGTTTATTTTCCTAAATATTATCTGTCTGCAGAAATTAAATGGAAAAATTAAGCGATTTTGCATCAACGGCATCGCAATTTTTGTGTTCATACATGAAAGTTTGAATGCAAAAAAAAAAAAAACACAAAAACATTTGACATTATGTTCTTATTAAGTAGTAAATGTTGAGTGTAAGACCTCATCTACCTCTTACCGTAATTTAAAGTAGTAACGTTGCTCGTAAGAAAAGAAAAAAAAAACACATCGCAACATTTTTTATGCATCAAATATCAAGCTTAGGGTTTGAATTCTACCCTATCAAGGATATGCTCAAATCGTATGACAAACTTACAGTGGAGTGTGTGTTCAAGTCTACTTGTTGTATATAATTTTTAGTTATTCATCTCTTACATGGAAACAACCTCTTTGTAAAATAAGGGTAAAACTGCGTACGATAGACATTCTCCTCAACTCTCGTAAAGCGCAGAGCCTTGTTGGCTTAGGGTCGTCCCTCTCTTCATGTGGTAAAACAAAGAGGAAAGTTGATTTTAACCTAATATCTATAGCATATTTTAGTGAAACCCCAAAATTTTCAAATTTTCAAATTAAGCCCTTTAACCAGCATACCACGTAAGCAAACTTTCCTAAAGTCTAAGGTGAGTCATATTGGAGTTATGGTTCAAATTGGTATTAACTTTTATATCTGTTTTACCCTTCACGTTCATTAGGGGGACTTTCTTTTATCATTATTTATTGTTTGTATTTCATTTTCGATTTTACGCCACTCTTTGATAGGTATGTAAATCTAATCAGTGTTTAAAATAAAACGATATCATTATTTTAAACACTAAGTTTACCAGATCAACTATATAAAACGAACACGCTTAGAGACTCAATTGGTGCAAAAAAATTAAGAATGGATACAAATAATTTACTTTTTCTTTTTATACCCACATGACAGCGAAATGAAACGACTTAAGGGATTTTTTTTCTTTTGTTGACTTTTTGATCAGATAAGGATATGTACGAGGGCAAATTGGTCATATAGCCACTGAGCTCTGCTCTACTCTTTATTTCTCCAGCAAATTTGGCTTGGACTACAAGAAATTTATCACATTACAAGAACCAGCAGCAGTTTCAACTTTACAAGGTAATTTCCGTACAACTCTGTCTCTTGTTTGGTTGCTCAGAAAATGTGAGTTTGTTTCATACTCTTTCGTTTTATTTTCTGTTTGGGTGCCGAGAAAACAGAGAAAGCAAAAAGGGTTATGTATGAGCTCTTGGGCATTTTGCTCTTTTTTCTTTTATACATGAATATTGCTTTTATTATTCAAATATTAGATCTGTGCTTTAAGGCTTCATATTTTGTTGTGATCTGAGTCTTGTATTTATAATTTTGGAAAAATTCAGGATCTTTACCGAAAATGGGTCAAGCACTTGGTTGTGTTCAAGTGAAGCAGTCAAAAGTTGCTGTGAGGGAACAATTTGGGAAGTTTGATGGTGTGCTTGAACCAGGATGCCATTGCATGCCCTGGTGTTTCGGATACAAGGTAGCCGGTGAGCTCTCACTGCGCGTGCGACAACTTAAAGTTCAATGCGAAACCAAGACCAAGGTTTTCAGCTGAATGATCTGTTGTGAAATCCATAGTTTATGTGTCGGGCTATAATATGTGATATTATCCCCGAAAAGAATTTCGCCATGTGACGTGATTGGTTTGTTTCAGGATAATATGTTTCTGAACGTGGTTGCATCGATTCACTATCGTCCCTTGCCAGACAAGATACCGGATGCTTTCTACAAGCTCTTGAATGCCGACTTGCAGATTCAGGCTTATGTGTTTGATGGTAAGACTTACAGAAAGTGATTGATAGAGATTGTTGCTTGTATAGATTACAAGTAATATTTCGGTGTCTTCAGTTATTAGGGAAACTGTGCCGAAACTGGAGCTTGATACCGTCTTTGAGCAGAAAAGTGACATAGCAAAAGCTGTTCAAAAGGAACTTGCAAAGGTGACAGTATATATAAATCGTATTAACTAAACTAATTAGAAATGTTATATCTTGGTGTAACTTTCGCTGAGAACCAATAAAAATGCAACCATTTTTTTGAAATTTTCGTTACAGGTTATGTATGAGTACGGTTTTGAAATAGTCCAGACCCTGATTGTGGACATTGTACCACATGTTGTATCGATAAAAGCGATGAATGAGATCAGTGCAGGTGAATTTCACAAAAAAAATGTCACACACTTTTGTTTCGTAAATTTCAGTTTGTGATTAATTGCTTGTTCTATGTGTTATTTTCTTATCTGACACAACAGCTAAAAGGAAGAGGCTGGTAGCGAAAGAGAAGGCGGAAGAGGAAAACATCCTGAAGATCAAGCGAGCAGAAGGAGAGGCCGAGTCCAAGTACTTTGTAGGACTTGGCATAGCGCGCCAGGGCCAGGCCATTGTTGACGGGCTGAGGGACAGCGTGCTTGACTGCTTTACACAGATTATGCTAAGGAGGGGATAAAAGCTTCAAACGAACAAATATATCTGCAACGCTTGACTGCATAAATTATTCATCGAAAACTAGTTATAAAGTATCACCTCTATCAAGTTCTTACCTGTTTACAGACATCAAATGTAAAAAACTAAGTCCTTTTGCATCAACAGCATTGCAATATATGTGTTAAAGCTGTTTTTACACTTCCTTGAAATGCAGCAACTATATTTTCTGCAGGTATGACCTAAGAAACAAAAGCAAGACAAGAAAAACAGAAGTTTACAATCCGAAATCAAAAGCAACAAAGAACATTTTCCTAGTGAGTCAGCTAAATACCTGCCAATCTAGGAAATCAACAACATTTTCGCCAAAGAATTTTATAGGTTGCGTTGAAATTTATTGATTGAATTGATTAGGTAACGTTTGGAGGTCGGGAAAGGTGAATTTTGAGTTTGGACGAGTGAAAGAAGAGCTGGTCATGAATAGTGTGTTAGCCCTAGTGCGCCAATGCGATTAAATTGTATGACAAATTTACGGTGTAAGCGTTCGAGCCTGTAAGTTCTATACAATTATACATTTATTATGATCACGCGTCGTGACAAAATTTTCTCCTACCACAAATAGTTGGACCACAACTCTAATTGAAGCCTTACCACTTGGTAAGTAGAAAAATTCAAAGGCATTTAAAGGAACTTAATGACATTATAAAGAGTCACATGAAAAATTGCAAGTAAAGGAAACTAAATTAATGTAAATGATGAAATTATACTTTTTCCTTTTATACTAACGTGAAACAGAGGGTAGTTTTGACTTTTTCATCATAGATGGGTCGAATACAAGGGCAAACTGGTCATTTACTCACTGATCAGCTCTCCTCTTTCTATCTCATAAATTTTGTATTGGATTACAAGAAATAATTCACAAACAATTTTACAAGAACCAGCAGCGGTTTTAGCTTTAAAAGGTAAAGTCCGTACAACTCTGTCTGTCGTTTGGTTGCTCAGAAAATGTGGGTTCGTTTCGTACTCTTTCGCTTTATTTTCTGTTTGGGTGCCGAGAAAACAATACAACTGAAGTTCAACTGAATTTCTTTTCTTTAGATATATGCTTTATTGATTGATATACAACTTTTGTTACTAGTTTAAGAACTGAAGAATGGGTCAAGCACTTGGTTGTGTTCAAGTGAAGCAGTCAAACGTTGCCGTGAAGGTGCATTTTGGGAAATTTGATGATGTGCTTGAACCAGGATGCCACTGCATGCCCTGGTGTTTCGGATACAAGGTATCCGGTGAGATCTCTCTGCGTGTGCGGCAACTTGAAGTTCAATGTGAAACCAAAACCAAGGTTTACGCCTTCTGAATTTAGCCCTTACTTTACATTCCGGGAACGATCTGTAGTGAAATCCATAATGTTTATGTTAGACTATAGTATGTGATATTATGTTGAAGGAAAAATTCTCGATTTGTGACATAATTGGTCTTTTCAGGATAATGTGTTTGTGAAAATAGTTGCATCGATTCAATATCGCGCCTTGCCACATAAGATGCGGAAAGCTATCTACAAGCTCTCAAACGCCAAATCACAGATTCGGGCCTACGCGTTTGATAGTAAGACTTGCAGAAAGTGATTGGTAGACATTGTTGCTTGTAAGGATTGGAAGCTAATATTTTGTTACTCTTCAGTTATCAGGGCAAGTGTGCCGAAATTTGAGCTTGATGCTGTCTTTGAGCAGAAGAGTGACCTAGCGAAAGCTGTTGACGAGGAGCTTGCAAAGGTGAAAGTGAAATGAAACAATTGTTTGTTTTTAATAGAAAAAGGTTTATATCTTTGTGTAACATTTGTTGAGAACCAATTGAGATTGTAGCCTTTTTTTCGTTACAGGCAATGTCTTCTTATGGTTTCGAAATAGTCCAGACCCTTATTGTGGATATCGTTCCAGATGTTCATGTGAAGAGAGCGATAAATGAGATCAATGCAGGTAATTTCCACTCAAAAAATGTCACGCACATTGTTCCGAAATTTCAATTTTGTGATTTGGTTGTTGCTCAGTTTATAACTTTATATATAATTTTTGCTATCTGTCATCATAACAGCTACAAGGCAGAGACTGGTGGCGAAAGAAAAGGCTGAAGCGGAGAAAATCCTACAGATCAAGCGAGCAGAAGGAGAGGCAGAGGCCAAGTACTTGGTAGGGCTTGGCATAGCACGCCAGCGGCAGGCCATTGTTGACGGGCTGAGAGACAGTGTGCTTGTCTTCTCCGAAAATGTTCCCGGAACAACAGCCAAGGATGTCATGGACATGGTTTTGGTGACTCAATACTTCGACACCATGAAGGAGATTGGTGCATCCTCAAAATCATCGTCTGTTATCATCCCGCATGGGCCAGGTGCAGTCAAGGACATTGTTTTGCAGATTCGAGAGGGTCTCCTTCAAGCCGATTATGCTAAGGAATAAAGATGGGATAAAAACTTGGGACGAACAAATGCATCTGTAGTGCTTGACTCCCTAATTATTAATATAGTTGGTGTGACAATTGTTCTTTATCTTGTTGATTTTCTAAAAAATTATATGTTTCCAGAAATCGGATGAAGAAAAAACTGTCGTTTGCATCCACAGCATTGCAACTTTTGATTTCGTTTCGTTACATAAAGAATATGAAATTAAACAAAAAAATATAAAACTAAACTCATACACAGAAATTAACCAACAAAAGTTCATCTACTGTGAATCCACCATAAGAGATTACTGAGGGAGTTCCCGTCGTCGAATTCTTTCAAGCTTCTAATCTTCTCCAAAGCGCCTTCTTTGTCGAACATCCCTTGTAATGCAAATACAAATCCCTTCCATCCTTCCGTGACTCCCGTCCTGCTGAGCGCCGGTAATGCCCAGTTCACTAGCTCACTGGCGAAACCCGCGTCCGAGAACAATACCTCAGTAACTGGCAAAACAGGCAGTACTTGGATTCCAAGTCTGATTTCTCTTGCCTCCGCAGTCGCAAACCAAAGCCCGCTGTCTCTCTTGGTCGCCCATAAAATTCCCACAACTCGGTTTTCCTTCACGAAATCTTGCTGGTAAATTTGACTCTCTCCTCCCTCTCTCACGTGCCACCACATTTGAGCTGCCTGAATTTCCAATGTAGTAAGCAGTGAACCGGTGGCCTCAAGTTGCGCGTCGTTATAGGCTTTTCCCATCAGAGAAGCTGCATAGTAAGCATTAACCGCCTCACTCGTGCTCTCTTGATTCCTCCCGTTTGCGAATTCTGTCAACCCTCCCGCCCACGAGTGCAATTTATAAAGATCAAAGGTTCTCAGACGCGGATAATTTGGATTCGATTGCTTGTCCTTGTTGAGAAAATCCTCCACGAGCGAGTAAGCTTGAGGCTTGTACTTCTCCCCCCATGCAGGATCAATCTTTGCTAACACGGAAATTCCATATATAAAGTACCCCAGATGAAAATGGTGATCGGAATAAAGACCAAACCCAAAATCAGCACCTGGATCAGCTGTGGAGGATTTCGTAACAAGTCCACCCCATTTTTTATCGTGCAAAAATCCGTTGCCGCTAAAAGTACCATCCAACCACGGCTCAATTTTCTCCCTTAAGAATGTCCTAATCACGGGTATCACATCAGGGAAAGCTACCTCCTCGGCGATCAGAGCCAGCCTTGCCGCTCTAGCAACCAGTTTCCCATAAAAATATGAAGACGAAGTAGTTGATTGTGTAGAACTAAGAGCGTCAACGTCTCGACGAAGCGCAGATATGATTTCAGGGAATGAATCTTTTTTGACACCTCCAACGGAATTCCAAGTGACTGGAATAGGCTTTGGTGCTAACACCCACGAATCACCAACAACGCCAATCAAATCCCCGTCAATGCTTTTGTACTTAAAATCCTGCAAAACTGTGGCATTGGACAGAAGCTTGAGATGTAGAGGATGAGCTAGCATGAGCAAGTCTCCGCCTATCTTTTCAAATTTATACGACAAAGTATTTGAGTTTTTGAGCACAGCTGCACCAGAAACCGGGTAACAAGAACTGAAGTGGTCAAGAATTCCCTCAGATTTAGGATCAGGATCCGGCATTACAGCAAAACGAACAACCCCAGAAAAGTCCTGAAGAGTTAACATGGATGAGCCGCTGTGAGTTAATTCTGTTGGTGAGGATGTGTATACTAGCCATGTCTGATCATTGTCGAGCTTGACGATGAACTTAGTATTTGAGCCACTCGCTGATGTTGCCGAGACAATTTTATGATCAGTCGATAAAGAAACCGCCGTGGGGCGATAAACAAAGCAGCTGAGAAAGGGGCTTCCGCGGACGAGGTAGAAGCGGAGGTTGGAGGAGGGAAAGTCCAATGTCACACTCAAATCATTGAAGTCGGAGACTACATGGTGGCCCTTGTTGTTTGATTTTGAGGCGAAGATGGTGAGGTCGGCTTCGAACGGGGATGTGGATACGACGGTAGAGGTGTAGGAGAAAGACGGGTAAGCGAAAGACAGGGAAGAGTTGGCTGATCTGATGATGTAGGGGTGTATGTACTCCGGTTGGTCGCCATTGTGAAGGACAAAGTTTTGAAAGAATGAGCTGGTAGGGAGTGGGGATGAGAGGAGGTTCGGGGCGAAGAAGGTCAAAGGGTCGGGGAGGACGGTGGATTGAGCTTCCGGGAAAAGGAACGGGGCTGTAGCAGGGGCGGCCTGCGGAGTCGACGCCAAAAAACAGAGAACGCAGATGACGAAAGCAAGAGAAGAAAGCATGCTTGCCATGATGATGCTTGTGATTTGGTACGTTAGGTGGCTGTGAATAAGACTTTCGATCGGACTTGTATATTTATAGGGATGCTTTGGATGTGTAATTTCGGCTTCCAAGTTAAAGTGGGAAATTAGAAAGCCTTGTGAGATTTGGTAATTGTTTGGAAAACTAGGAAACATTTAAGGGAGTTATAACAAAACACCCCCGATACTGTTCACTTTTAACGAAAAACCACATTTTTACCTTTAACTGTCAATATTCACTATACCTTTAAAAATAACTTTTCATTAAAAGGGAAGTTTTTTCAGATTTTTCGTTAGTTTTCCTTTAAGGGGTTTTATTTTGTTTGGTCTCCTAATTTTATATGGTTTTGTTTAACTTGCTCGTTTTGGAAGAGAGGTAAAAATTTGACAAATAAGACAAAGGTACCCACGACACTTATTTGCTTTAGGAATTCTTCTGTGTGGAAGTTCATGGCCGTTCGGCCAAAAAATCACCGGGTAGGGACAGCATACACGGCGGATGTGGGGCTGGGTGGGGCGGTTTTGTCTTAAGCCAGACAGTGACGGTTTCTCGTCATCCGAACCTAAGAATTTGCCTTCCGATACCACATAATCAGTATTCAGTAATGAACGGAGTAAATAAAATGCTAACATTCCAAACGGACTTCTCAAATTCAAGATGCCAACGAAGGCCGAAATATCATTGATTATAGGAGGAAGAAAAGAGGTGCCGAAACAGCCACGAAAAATGGTAACAACATTTGAAGACTACCGGGCTTCATCATCCTCCGCTAACACAAGCGTGAAAAAGGTCGCAAAACATGTCTGAAACCATCGAGCCTTTATTTTTACAAACCGAAGCCATCAAAACAGAACGATTTCCCCTACCATATGGACTTGTTCCGAGAAAAAAGAAACATTTAGAACCAAAGAAATGTCAGCCTGGAAAGACAACTATATTACGCTCTACCTCTGCTCCCTGCCGCAGTGAGCAATAAACCCGCTCATGGCTTGAGAGCAAGAGCCAACCCAATCTTGGCGCTCTTCTCAATGGCCTTGGTGTCTACCTCTCCTGAAACAGTGAGGAATGACTTTGGGCGCCACTCGTGCTGGATCAGGGCACTTGCTTTGCCAAAGTTGTTTACGCGTGCCTTAATGGATGTCAATGGATCCAGGGCATGCTGGGTGCCAAGAGTGATGGTATTCTCGTTGGTAGGAAACCTGTGGGTCACCTCAGCGCCAACAGCTGTGTTGGAAAGGGGATTGACACTGTGATAGTAGGATGCACTGAGGATGTCACCTTTATCATTCCTGTATCATGAAAAACAAATCTTTATCACACCATGCACCAAAACTTCAACATCACAAAGCCAATATATGTAAAATCAAATAAGCCAATCGTAGACAACCAAAATAATACTTACAGGGTCAATGCAGCGACCAGATCAGCATTGGAGAAGCTCAGTCCAGCATTGCATTTAGTCAAATTCCCGGTCTTGGTGTCGAATGACAGATCAGTACCAAGTGCAAGCTGATTGGTTCCAATAACACCGGAGAAGTTAACAATAGGGTTCGCTGTCAAACCAACACTGGAGCTTATCCCTGCATAGTCATGCAGATATTGGAGTTCCACCTGTTAACAATCACCCACATATTAGATGGCAATTCTACAAATGATCCCGATTAATGAAATGCTTTAATACAGAGAGTGAACTCCACCCACAAGTTTTACCGCATATCGGCAAACATAATAGACGAGTGACAGATAAAAAAACCAGACATAACAGTCCTACCTTGCCAGACCTCTGATCAGGAACTTTGAAGCTAAAGATTGCCTTCAGGCCAGGAGCAGGTTGATCAACCGTAATAGTGGTGGACAGCTGATAACAAAACAAACCGTTGGTAAACCGACATTAGCAAGAAAAGATAAGTATAAGTTAAAATAATTACTTTATTCAGTTCCAAATGCACTAAAGCTACTCAATTCCGTTATATCTGAATGAACATTTAAAACTATTTCTAATGGATGTGTGTACATCCAACAAAAAGCAAAAGAAAAAGGAAATACTTTTGGCATTTACAATCACCACCACAATAGGACCCTGTAACAGAATAGATGGAAAAGAAACATAAATGGATGTGGGGCTTACATTGGAGTCGGTGTCAACTTTGACATCAGTTGTGACATTCTTGTTCTTCAACTGAGTGTTCACATCAGCCAGAAACAACTCACCTTTCTTCGTTCCTGAAGAAGTGATAGCCTGCAAATATGAAGAAGTAAGTAAATGTAGGATACATGGTTAACTTAGAACTTGTAAACTGTAGGGCGGATCGAGTTGAACAAAGAGTCGGTAAGAATGGTATGCGCAAGGCACATGGCAATGGGCATAAGCGTATAGGGAACACATGGAAAATTATATGAATCACTTGTAATATCAGTGCTGCTCATTAAATTCTATGTTTGGCTAGAAATTTCACTAAATTTCTTAAACTCAGCAAAATCTAATAACGCAAATAAAAAAGTTCTACAGAAAAGTTAACTAACAAAACTAGCAAAGAATCAGCACCCAGCATAAAATCACAATGTTCAAAATTAAACAAAATCGAATAACTAAGACGAACTAGATGCTAGTTTAACTCGCCATTTCAACATATTCACAGCAATAAATCAACAATTGACACTTCCTGCTTAAATGCCACCAAGTTCTAACCCAAAATATTAATAAATTTTGAAAAAACTAACAAAGAAAAAACGTTACAAGCTAAAGTACTAAGCATAATATGAAACAA